TGAGGTCCACACATGCTCAGCAGTGGCACAACACAAAGTAGACACTGGTTGGTTTTGCTCTTCTTTGACCAGGAATATTACCTATGACGACCTTCTTATTGATAAGTGAAACAGGAGAAATATTCCAACTTATCTAAAATCCCTATTATTCAAAAGATAATGATCCTAATTTGACCATTTTATAGATAAAGTGGAAGTCTTCAACTGCAGCACCACTTGGAACCATAAGTATGTAGTTTTTGTCATAAGAAACAACTTGTATCTTGAGCCATCGCTTTAGCACTGTGGACGATCAGATTTTGTCTAAAATTCATAGGATATGCCCCTCATAGATTCAGATTTCATGATCAGTCATTGGAATAGTGACCAAAACTTGTTGATTAAACATCAAGAAATGGCTCTGGGTGGTCCCTAAGTATACCATTTTCAATAAGATGAGGAGGTTTCCATCTGTCTGATGTTGTGAAAATCAGTGGAACCTTCTGCTTTTAGACGAGTCTCAATGTATAATAGTAGTATGACAATGAGTTGGAAGGCAAAACCATGTGATACTTCAAGTTCTTTTGTCTTTAGCTGGTGCCCACAAAATGCCTGTTCAATGCACATCAGTAGGAGTATACAACTTGTCATTGGCCTATTTAAACACATAGAAAGAAGGATTTAGCATAACAACTCTCAGCAAAACTTGCAACCATACAAAGCTTTTCTCTGCTTTCAGGGTCATTACTAATTATTCCCTTCCTTATTTGCTCATCTGTATTAAACTAAACAACCATGGCTATCCGTATGCCTCGTATAATCAAGAAGTCTTCTACAGCTGGAGATGTTCCAAATGGATATTTTGCTGTTTATGTTGGAGAGAAGCAAAAGAAGAGATTTGTGATCCCATTATCATTCTTGAGTCAACCGGCATTTCAAGACTTGCTTAGCCAAGCTGAGGAAGAATTTGGATTTGATCATCCAATGGGTGGTCTCACAATTCCCTGTAGCGAGGATATGTTCGTTGATCTTACTTCTAGCTTGTGTAGGATCTGAGGCTTTTCCTTTCATAATTTTTTAAAGAACTAACCTGGACTCCAGTCTGTACATTAGAAGAGTTAGGAAAAGACACATCATTTATATGATACCACTGATAATTAGATAGAGGGGGTTACTGTTAGCTGCAACAGTAGATCCCGATTGAATGTAATTTTGTAAAGAGATAAGCATAATATTCTTTAGCAAATGAAATCTGTTCAGATCTATTCTTTACCTGGTTTTTCAGTGTTCTTGTTGGATTAATTTTACATGACTACATTTATCCATAACATGAGAATTGAAGCTTCTGAAGAAGACACCTTATATCTGTGACCTTATCCTGAACACTGAATTTTCTTTGGCAATGACAATAAACAAAACTTTATATCTGCTACATGAGTTTGAAAATAGGAAAGAATGACATTAGAATATCACACTCCATCGGACATTTTGCATTCTCTGCTCTTTTTAGAACAACATCTGCTTGATTTATTAGAAGTTCTCTCTATCAGCTGAATAACTTGGGATAATTCTGATCTGCAAAGTTGATAAAAGCATCACATTAGACGACTTATGATATCAGAAACAAAACTTGTATTTATCTAGGTCAACGTATTTCTAAAAGTATCAATTGGTACAGCTGTATTTACTCTATGGTTCCCTAAAATAGTGGCTACCCAGAAGTAACTAAAGTTGCTTGTTGATATTAGGCTAGATTTATGTCATTTGACGATTGTTTTTTCCCAACTTGATTATGTTTCAATGCTCTAATATAATCAAATGATGAAAAATGAGCTCTAAATTGTGTTGCAGGAATGAGGAGTTTATATAAGGCCTTAAAGATGTGATTGGAGCTGCATTGAAGCAAGAAAGACCCCTAGGAGCTGAGTAAGCGAGACGACGAGAAAAAGAATCGACCAAATGAAGGCCTAGACTAGCGCGACCACGCTAGCCCAGATGGTCGAGGCAGAATGGTAAGGCTACTAGCACGGCCATTAGCGCGCCCACTAACGCGGCCGCGCTAGCCCATTTCCGGAAAATAATTCCTGGGAGTAAATTTGGAAGTGTGGGGGGCAAATTCAATTAACCTATAGAAGGTCAATCTCGCCCAAGGAGTGTGTGTGTAGCTTTTGATAGCTGATAGCAAGAAAAGGAAAGGCAAGAGGCAAGGAGGAGTATTCTACATCAAGTTCTTCTCTTCTTCCTTTTGTTTTTATGATTTGTAATGAATTTAATTATTGTGATGAACATCATTGTTATGAGTAGCTAACTCTTTTAATCTAAGGTTTTGGGTGAACCCGTTGTTGATGAACTTGTTGTTATATTAATATAGTTTGAGTTGGTTGTTAATGTCTATTTGTTCAACTACGTTTTGATTTTGGTTAGTTGAAAGGATCCTCAATTACCGTTCCTATTTATTATGTATCTACTTGAGAGAGAGTGCATATTTAGGTAATTATTTGAACAACATCACTCCCGGAGTATAGGCGAGAGTCATAACCGAGGGTTTAGAGGTTGGAGTAGAGATAACGATACCTCGGGTGCGATCTAAGTGAACTGTAATGAGAATCTAGCTAGCGTAGCTTGAGAGAGTGCGTCTAGTAAATTATCATAATTATTTGAGAGAGAGTTATGATAGCTGGAGAGTTCATGATCATTAGAGACAACTAATTCATAACTATAAGAAACATACGACTAAGGAATTCAACAACGGGGATAACCATTACCTTAGACCTTTATTCCAATTGTCTACAACTGCGTAGTAGTTAATCTTTGTTTTATCGATTCTGTTAGTTGGAGTAGTGACCATAACATTTACAAAGTTTGAGAAGGTTGACTCATAAGAATTTAGTACTTTAAAGGCTTCTCTTGATACGTTAATTCCCTGTGGGATTCGACTCGGGGCATAATACCTCGGATTATATTTGCAACGCCCGCTTAGTCTTTTAATAGACACAGTTGAGCGTGATAAAATTTTGGCGCCGTTGCCGGGGAATTAACGGTATTATCAATTACGATTGAAAGAAGTACAAAAATTCTTAGTGTAGTTAGTTCTCTCTATACCTAACTTTTACATTGAAATTTTTTACGTTTGTCGACTTGGTTGCTTTGATGGTAAGCAACCTCCACTTCCAACCAAGAGGTTGTGAGTTCGAGTCTCCCCAAGAGCAAGGTGGGAAGTTCTTGGAGGGAAGGATGTCGGGGGTCTATTTGGAAACAGCCTCTCTACCTCAGGGTAGGGGTAAGGTCTGCGTACACACTACCCTCCCCAGACCCCACTAAGTGGGATTATACTGGGTTGTTGTTGTTGTTGTTGTCGACTTGGTTGCACAGGTGCATGCCTAGAAACTCATCGAGAACTGGTGAAGTATTTGAGGCATTACCAGGTCCCGAGAAATTTTTCAAGGCCTTGAACCGGGCCAACCGGAAAAACAAACAACAACAAACAACTGACCCATTAGAAACAACAATGGGAGATAGGAAGAACACCCAGCTGTACCAATAGCGCCAGTGACACCTCTTGTGCCAGAGGCGGCTCTCTATGACTGGGCACAACCCACTGCTAAAAATCTAGCCACCTCGATTTTAGTCCCGCAGATACAAGCTGAATCCTTCCAAATCATGAATAACATGCTGCATTTGTTGCAAAACAAGGGATTATTTTCAGGGTCACAAGTCGAAGATCCTCAACAACATTTGAAAAAATTTCTCTCAATCTGCAAAACCTAAAGGCAGCCCAATGTAACTCCAGAAGCAATCAAGTTGCTATTATTCCCATTTTCAGTGACAGGAGCTGCTCAGACCTGGTTAAACTCACTCCCCATAAATTCCATAACAACTTGGGAGGAGTTAGTCAGGCAATTCGTGAACAAGTTCCACCCCAACAAAACCACCCAACAGATTGATGACATTTTGAGTTTTAAATAGAGACCAATGGAAACATTGCATGAAACATGGGAGCGTTTTAAAGGGATGCTGGTCATATGTCCGCACCATGGCATTCCAGATTTGATGTTGGGACAGCGGTTCTACATAGGATTGTCAGATAGCGTGAAGAACATTGTTGATGCTTAATTTTTGAGTAAAACATGGAGAGAAGGTCAAGGTCTGCTTGACAAGATGGCGCAGAATTCGGGAATGGATAACAGAAATGCACCAATCACTCCAGTGGTGCAATTAGTGCCTTTAGATCCATCCAATTCAATGGCTGAAAATATGGCCGCCTTATTGACACAGATGAGCATACTCACCAAAAAGGTGGAAGAGTCAGGGCAAAAGCAACAGGTACATATTGTAGATACTACTAATGGGGGCTTGTGCACATCTTGCATTAGTCAGCCAATTGGTAACCAGTGGAAATCAGAACACGATCATCAGCATTACCCTGAAGATATGAACTATGTGACTAATTATGGGAGCAAGAGACATGGTAGTCAGAGTTGGGGCCAGCAGAATCAACAGTACATGCCATCCCAATCACAGTTCAACAGTGGGAATGTGGGAGGTATGAGACCCCCCAACAATATAGCACCTTACCCAAGGCCACAGGAATACAGTAATCAGAATCAACAGCAGGGGTATCACCCTACTCAACAGCAGTATAGTGGAAGGCAGGAAGATGGGTTTTCTAGACTGGAAGCAATGATGCAAAAGGTTATTGGGTCTAATACAAAGATTAGCGAGAGAGTAGATGCACATGATTCAGCGATCAAAAATATTGAAATGCAGATGGGCCAAATTTCGATGTCTCTCGCCCTCATGGAACACTACCTGTAGATACCCAGGTAAATCCAAAATATCAAGTCCCAAAACAGATAATGGCGGTGAGCCTACGGAATGGCAGAGATTTGGATGTCGAGCAAGAAAGGGCTCGAGAAGCCAGGGTGGTTGAGACACTCATATCAGTGCCCATTGAGTTGGATGAATCAACGAAACTGACAGAGGTGACAGTCCAGCCTGCCCAGGAAGAAAGTAGCATTTAAATGGAGACCGAGAAAGAAGCTGAGACAGCACAAGAACCAGTGGTTGATGTGGCAGCTGATAAAGATCGAAGCCAAATGATTGGAAAGAAGAGACCTCCTGCACCGTTTCCTCAGAGGCTAGTTAAGTACCAAAAAGAGGAGTAATACAAGAAGTTTTTGGAGATGCTAAAACAAATCCAGGTAAATATTCCCTTGATTGATGCTTTGAAAGAGATGCCTGGGTATGCAAAAATGATGAAGGACTTAATGTCCCGAAAATTTGATTTCCAAGACTTGGCCACAGTTACTCTTACTCAGACCTGAGTACAGTGGTAACTAAACCAATTGCGAAAAAGCTGTCTGACCGAGGGAGCTTTACAATCCCATGCACTATTGGTGATTTTGCCTTTGCTAAAGAACTGTGTGATCTAGGGGCCGGCATTAATCTTATTCCCCTAGAAAATTATAAGAGACTGGGTATTGGAAGAGCTAGACCCACCTCTATGTTGTTGCAGCTGACTGACAGGACGGTAAAGCGACCCTCTGGTATTCTGGATGATGTGTTGATTCAGTTAGGGAAATTTGTGTTCCCTATAGATTTTGTAATCTTATACTGTAAAGTGGATGAAGAGATTCCCATAATTTTGGGAAGACCGTTCCTGGCCACGGGTAGAGCTTTAATTGATTATGAAACTGGGGAGTTAAAGATGAGGTTGAACGATGAAGAGATAACATTCAATGTGCAGAAATCTATGAGGCGACCAAGTGAATTTTCCAATTGCTCTTTTATTGATGCCATGGATGTAATCGTAGAGACCGATGATGAACTGCTGACTATTGAAGACCCCCTCGCTGCGTGTTTAATGAATTTAGATGAGTGTAACGACCCAATCGGTCATTTTGAGCTCCAGCGTGTCATTCAGTAGTTTAAGGCCATGAGCAGCTTCATCTCAGGTATATTGACTTGTGTGTATGGTCAGAATTAAAATTCAGGAAGTTTGGAGTCAAATCTAAATGGAAATTCTCATTTTGAAAGCTTAAAATTGAAGAAATGAACTAGGATTGGAATTTTGAGTAAACGACCTCGGAATTGGGATCCGAAGGTTCCAGCTGGTTTGTATGATGATTTCGGACTTGGGCTTATGCCCGGATCGGGTTTTGGATAACCCGGGAGCGTTTTAGCGCCTATTGTGGAAGATAGCATTTTAGAAGAAATTGCATCAGTTTGGCTTAAAATGCATTTCAGTGTTATTGATGTCCGTTTGGAATTCCGAGACTGGGAGTAGCTCCGTATGGTGATTCTAGATCTGGGAGCGTGATCGGAAGTGAATTCGGAGGTCCGTAGGTCATTTTGGAGCCGTTTGGCTAAATATAGAAATTTGAAGGTTTTTGAGAAAATTCGATCGGAAGTGGAAATTTTGATATCGGGGTCGGAATGCGATTCCGAAAGTTAGGGCAAGTCCATAATGTCGAATGTGACTTGTGTGCAAAATTTGAAGTCATTCCTTAATGATTTTTGTAAGGTTTGAGACACTTAGTCTCTTTTAAGGAAGCTTAAGTTGGAAAAGTTAACCGGATATTGAATTATGTGTTAGAGCGCTCGAAATACAAATTTTATGGTTCGGATAGCTTTGTTAGGTGATTTGGGACTTAGGAGTGTGTCCGGAATATTTTGTGATGACCGGTGTAGAATCAAGCTTGAATCGGCAAAGTTAGTATTTTGGCGAATTCCGGTTGATAGGTAAGATTTTGATCCAAGGCTTGGAATGGAATTCCGAGAGTTTCTGTAGCTTCGTTATGTCATTTTGGACTTGTCTGCAAAATTTGAGATCATTTGGACTAGTTTTGACGTGTTTCGACATCGGATGTGAAAATTAGAAGTTTCAAAGTTCATAGGCTTGAATCCGAGGTGAATTTAGTATTTTTGCGTTGTTTTTGGTGATTCGAAGAAACAACTAAGTTTGTGTCATATTATGGGACTTGTTAGTATACTTTGTTGGGATCCCATGAGGCTCAGACAAATTTGGAAGACTTTTTGGAAGATTTTTGCCGTTTTGAGCATAAATGTAATGATCTAAAGGTTCCCGTTTAGTTCTAAAGATCCAAATTTGATTCCGAGACTTTCAGAATTTTGATAATGAATTATAGGACTGATCTAGAAATTTTGGTCTAATTTCATCAAGTCGTGATTGGGTTTTTGACGCGAAACATGAGTAATTGTTTAACGAGCGAAATGGATATCGCACTGGGCAAATGAGCTCCGAATTGAGTTTCGATTGAAGGGTTGTGTTTGTATTATTATTTGTAACTCATAGGAACAAGAATCGTCTAATTCCAAGTTCGTATGAAGGATTTAGAGCCTTTTTTAGTGAAATTAAAGAGTGCTGGTACATCAGGTCTGGTGTGACACTTTTAGCGACCAGATTAGCACCTTTAGCGACCAGATTTGGGTCTTTAGCGACCAGATTTGCTTATTAAAAGCTGTTGCGTTTCTGCTCGTTTTTTTTTACCTATTTTCTTGCGAAATAACACGGTTTGGGGCGATTTTTGAGCAAGAAATCATGAGAAATCTTGAGGTAAATCACTTGTGATTATTCCTACTCCATAATATTGAATTATCATCGAATAATCCGACTAGATTACATGTTTTTGAGGTGTAAATTGGGAATTTTGGACCTAGGGATTTGAAAATAAGATTTGAAGATTTGAGGGGTCATTTGAACTCCGATTTTGGTAAATTTTATATGTACGGACTCGTGGCGAGACGATGAATCCGGTGATGTGACTTTCGTAATTTTTCGAGAAGTGAGTCCGGGGCTCGGGTTTTGCCAACTTCGTGATTTTTAACGTTTTTTGAGTATTTTCGATTGGGTATTGTTTCCTTAGCATATTGTGATGTATTCGCTCTGATTTTGGTTAGATTCAACGTGTGTGGAGGCTGATTTGAGGGGCAAAGGCATCGCAAGCTATAGATTTCACCGGTTCGAGGTGAGTAATGACTTTAAATGATGCACTGAGGGTTTGAAACCCCGGATTGCACAACATACTGCTATGTTGAGATGAGACACGCGTTGTATGACGAGCGCGATGTCATTTACAATTGGGGATTGTGACTTGGTCCATCCCAGTTGGTATTTTTACCGCATAATTGATAGAGATTTATTGTTTTTCACTATGATTGGGCTTATTGCAATATTTAGGCTTCGTGCCAATTATCTGAAATCTTTTGTGAATTTACATCACTATTTTACTCACGAATTGAAATATTATTTGAACTCAGTCCAATTGAATTATATTATTTTGCGAGCTTAGCTACATTTATACTCAACTCGGGATTTAATGATATTTATAATGTTGTTGAGCTGAGCACTATTATTTTACTGATGCCCAAGAGGC